TAACATTTTGATGCAAAAGGAAGGAGGTGAGACAAATAAGGTAGGAGAAGAAAGAAGAAGGAAGAAAAGGAAAAATGATTGCGATATGGAGTGGTGGTAGTAATACATAAAGTATTTTACTTACGTATTTTTAGTTAGAATTATATTTACTAATGTAATTCATATAGACACAAAGTGACTTTCGACGGGAGTAGAAAAAATATAAAAATTTTAAAGTCTTGCCTTTTGTTTACTGACAATATTGGAGTTGATAACTCAAGTTTTCACCGAAGTTAAAGTGCATAATTTGACATCCCTGCCACTCATTATCGAGAAGGTGATGGTAGCAGAAAAAGCACAATACCGACAAAGTTCTTGTCGGTATCTGGTGGGCTTTCTTTAATTAGGTTAACCATATTTTTTTTTTTTAACAGAGAAATTGATTAAAAATTAGATTAATATCTGCTCTTAACAAAATTTAAACACTGATTAAAGGTATAATTCATCGACAGCTCTGTTGGGTTATAATAATCACTAATGAACCATAACAGGAGAATGCTAAGTTAACCCTATCTTAATAATAAGAAAGAATACATTATATCCACTGACTCATAGCTACCGGTGCTAAAAGGCCTCCTGGGTATCATGCGACGAACAAAGGAATCGGCTACTCCTTTATCACTTGCTTAGCTAGAAAGCGTGGACGCACGAAGGCGCAATCCAAGCGAATTAGGCAGCTCCCGCCGTTTTGAAAAGACTCGAGGAGCCACTCTTGGTGATAGTACCGCTACTATCACCTTGCCGTCACCGAGAAGGTGATGGTTGCAGAAACAGCAAAATATATATCGACAAAGTTCTTGTCGATATCTGGTGAGATACTCACCGAGCAAATAACCATCGCAGGTTGATCCTATTTACAAGGCGACCTTCATTGGTAAGAGCAGCTCTGACCACCAGCTTCCAGACTCAATATTATCAACAAGATTCTGGTTTGTATATTACAAATTTATTGATAAAGTACTTATCTAAACTTTACATAATATAAATTAATATTAAGTTAACTGTTTGGCTTTGTGCAGACATAGCTTGTTCATAGATTTGTCAAACACACTCTTTAAATTGAAGTAGAGAGAATTAGTTTGTTCATACTTCCGAAACACTTGAGGTCAGCTTGTTCACGCTTTTATTGTTCTGCGCATCATATTTTGAACTTCTGACATTAGTTTATTCATGCTTGAAATGCTTCTAACAGTTTGTTCATGCTTTTCTTAATCGGCGTTGGGTGAAAAAAATCGCCATGTTTGT